GGCCGGGCAGGCGGTGGGGAGGAAGGTGGCCCCCCACTCCACCCGCCTGCTCGACCTGGAGGGTCGGACGGGGATGGCGGAGAAGAAGCTGATCGACTGCGAGAAGACGGCGGCAGAGCTGGGGAACCAGCTGGAGAGCAAGTGCGCGGCGCTGGGCACCCTCATCCAGGAGTACGGGCTGCTCCAGCGACGCCTGGAGAACATGGAGAACCTGCTGAAGAACAGGAACTTCTGGATCCTGCGGCTGCCCCCGGGCAGGAAGGGGGAAGTCCCCAAGGTAACGGTGTCCTGGGGTGCCGAGGCCGGGGAGCCCGCGTCTGCGCCCCAAAACACTCCCGAAACGGTCATGGAGGGCAGGACAGGGGGGGAGACGCGGTGGGTGAGCGGGGACAGCCCTGGCGCAGGTGAGCCGCTCACCATCCGGACCTGGAGAGAGCGGAGCTGCCCCTCGCAGCTTCCTGGAGTCTCTCCCGCTGGGACCCACGTGCGGTGGGAGGTGGACCCGAGGGGAATGTCCCCCCATACTCCCATACTCAGGCCGGAGGTTTCAGTTCTGCTTCACCACGCTGTGCAGCCCGGGAGCGATTTACTCTTTTTTTTTTTTTTTTAACCACCATTTGAGAGAAACCCTGCAGATTTGGTGGTTCTGGTTTTTTACTACCGTTTCTTTTACGACCTTGGCGCCGTGGCGGGGGTCTCTCAGGCTGGGGAGGGAGCAAGCGGGAGCTGCTGCCGCGGGGAAGGGGGAACCTCTGGGATTCAGGGGAGGGCAGACGAGCTCCCTGCGCTCGCAGTTGGGCTTCGCCGAGCATCAGAAGGAGCCCACCGATGATAGTCGGTTCCTGTTTGCATTTCATGACCCTCTCGCTAAAAGAAAGTCTGCAGATGGGACCGTGTGGGACGTGGCAAAGTGAATGTTGCCGCTTCGCCGGAGAGAGCAGAGGGGGTCTGGAAGAGGGGGGTTCACACCCCGACACCCCGTTAGTGCAGTCAGGGAGCAGAAGCCTAACACAGCCCGGCTCGCGCATCCTGAATTTATCCTTAGAAATTATTACTTGGCAAACAGGCTTGAAAGCTGCAGTCTGCTCCCAGCCGATTTGCACACAATAACCAATGATAACTGGGAGCCCTTCAGGCCCAGGTAGAGTTTTCCTTCAAGTTCTGGGGTAATTGAATCTGGGGTTTTACGTCAGCTCATCAATAGGGATGAGGTCCAGCCCTAGTGCCCGATTTTTATCTCCTTTATGCTCCCTCCAGGCGGGCGCAAGCCCGGTCACCTCTGGAGAGTCGTCCCTGCTGGTGCGGGGAGCAAGAGGAGGAGGTCGGTGACGTTTGGGGAAATCACGGTCTGAGTTCATCGCTGGGAACTGGCCGTTTGGCTGAGACCTTTAATCTTGTAGAAATATGTGTCCAGGAGTTGTTTTAAATATAAAAACCAACTTGTTGATGACCATGAAGTAGCTGAAGCCTGGCCGTGTCTGAGTGGGAGCGAGCTGCTTTTGCTGCCAGCCGGAGATAACACGCTGGACTCCTGGGGAGCGAGGCGGCCGCTTGAAACCGTGCTGCTTGTGATTGCAGGTGCCGGTGACGTTTGACGACGTGTCAGTCTATTTCAACGACAAGGAATGGGAGAAGCTGGAGGAGTGGCAGAAGGAGCTGTACAAGAATGTGATGAAGGGGAACTACGAGTCGCTGATCTCCCTGGGTAAATACGGGGTGTCCTCGCCCTGGTGAAAGGCAGGTTCTCTGGGGCTCCTGGCTGCCCGCAGGCTTGGGCATCTTCTGAGTCCTCCTCAGAGATCCCCTTGGATCCCCTTGAGACCCAAATGCCCCATTTTAAATGGAGACTTAAAAACACAGGAGGTTGTTTCTAGTCTGGGTAAGGGCATCCCTCCGACAACGTCCGGTTTTGTTCCCAGCTCGGGGCGCGGTGCTGTCCTGGCTGGGTGGGGGCCACCCGTGAGCAGGTGGGCTGGAGACCTCCTGAGGCTCCTTCCAGCCAGAGTTACTTGGTGAAAAACGAGCACCTTCCCCGTGGCTGTTGGAAGGGCTTCCCTTCATCTTCTGGGTCGGCAGCGGGTACCAGCCCATGCACCCCTTCAGAAGAAACTTTTGTAGAGTGAAAAGTTGTCTGATGCGGTCTTGGCTACGCTCCTTTGGGGCATTTCCTACTGAAGCTGCAGGAAAAATGCTGGCTCTGCCGAGGCCAGAGGTGAAACGCTTTTGGCTTCAGGAGAGCTGGGAATTTGCCTGAGAAGTTCTAAAACCCTGCCAGAAAAATGTATGGGTTGGGTTTCTTCTCGAGGGTAGTTCCTCTGTGTGTGGCACCTCAGCTCCTGCCTCCGTGAATCTCTTCTGCCCGTCCAGGGAGCCTGGTCTGCCTGCAGCACCAGGCTTTTCTGCCTGCAGACCCTTTGTGGATGCTCCTGAGTGTCTTCACGTGTCCCCCCGGGTGCTGGGGAGAGGTGGAAGCCGATATTAGGATTCCCTGTGCAGTAATCCCTCCCTCCATCCCTCTGTCTCTCAACAGACTATGCAATTTCCAAACCTGGTGTTTTGTCTCAGATCGAGCAAGGAGAGGAATCGCGGGTCAGGAATGAGCAGGACTTGGAGGAGAGCGAGATCATTACCGATGCCACCGCAGGTGAGACGGCAGCTTAGCGCCAGGGGAGCCGTAGGTTGCGTTCAGAGGAGCTGCTCACCCCAAGGCTCAAGCAAGTGTTGCTGAGAGCTGTGCCCGCGGAGGTTATCAGGAGGAGCCTTGCATACAAGCGGGAAAGGTTTGGCTGATGAGAGATTTGCTGTCCAGGTACAGTTCAACATATAAACCAGGGCAAGCGGGGCCCGGAGAGTTGGGCACTAGGAGCTGTCAGCAAGGGAAACATCTGCAACCAGACCAGGTCCTCAGGGAGCCAGCGTGCCTGGCAAGAAAGGAGAATCGGGTCCCATCGGGAAAACCCATCCACCCAAGGGAGCTGTAGCCTTCCCAAAAAGTCCTCTCCACCCTCTCTGGTTGTGTGGATGGTGCCTGGGTTTATCCTTGGAGCATCGCCCCAGGGCTGGGAAGCCTGCTTCCATCCTGCACGCAGGGACCCAGGGTGCTGAGGGGTTTCTCCAAGGGCAGGGCTGGGCTGGGAACAGGGCACCAGGGACCCCGAGTCCCGGAGCGACTCCCGCTCTGAGATAAAGGGGGCTGATAAGGAGATAAGGAGGTGTCCTAGAAGAGATGGTGTCAGCTCTGCTGCTGGTCTCTGGCCCCAGGCTGCAGACACGGGGTCGCTCCAACCCCCTGCCTGTGCTCTTGCTCACGAAGATGTTGAAGTTAAATCGAGGCCAACGGGAAGAGAAAAATCATCTGCTGCCCACAGGGAGCTGCTGGCCCAGCACTGCGGACGGGGCATGTGGGGTGGCAGAGGGGTGCTGAGCTGCGGGCGCCGAGTCCCCAGGCCGGGCGGAGCGAGTCCCCTGTGCCCGCAGAGGATCCCAGACGAGAGGCCAGGAGCGTGGCAGGGCCGGTTGAAGGGCAGGGGCTGAAGGAAGAGCAGAAGTGGCTGAGCAAATGAAACCCCTCTGCGGGATCAGCAGCCAGAGACAGCCCGTGGGGAGCCGGCGGGGATTGTTGCGAGCGGTTTCTTTGTCCTGGCTCCGGGGAATGACGGCAGGCGGGAATCTCTCTTTGCTGCAGCTGGTATAAGGGTTGTGATCAAAACGGAGGAGCTCCTTCCTGAAGACAGCCCTGAAAACCCCGAGCTGCACGGGATGTCGGGGCAGTCGGAGGGGAGCTTCCAGAGTCCGGACGAGGAGGCAGCCTGCGAGAGCCCCTACGGCTCCGTCTCCCCTCCGAGGGACCTCCCAGGAACCAGCCTGGGTGACTCATCCGAATACGTAGCTGACTTCAACGAGATCCAGAGAGTGATCGTTCACCACGGGAGCTGCACAGGTGAGATGCTCGGCACGCGGCTCCGCGGCACGTGGCATGTCGGGGGGACAGGAGGCCCAGGAGGGGCTGTCGTGGGTCAGGCAAAGGTGGGGAACGGGTTGGACAAAAGAGAAGGGTTAAATCCCCCCAGAACCAGCACCAGAAGGAAAGTTTCTGGCTACAGCAACCTCACGAGCAGCTGCAGGCAGACCCCAGGCTGGGAGGAGGAGGCGGCACACGCGTAGTGGACATCAGAGCATGGTCTCTGAGGGCACCTGACCTGCTTGAGAGTGGAGCGAGCAGTGGCTCAGTCCTCCATGGGTGGGAAAGCCCTTGTTACACATGGAGAGCAAGGGAAGACGTGTCCCAGGCGGCGTTTTACGAGAGCCCCAGTGAGTCCCTGCTGCTAAAATTCCACCGTTGCAGAGGGCCGGACATCAGTCGAGGACTCCTGCCCTGGTGTTAGTCGTGCGGAGGAATGGTGTAAGCCCCTCAAGTGCTTACACACCAGACTCTGCTGGAGGAACGTGTGGGGTCCTGCACGTCGACCAGCAGGAGGGTTGCTCAGGGCAGGTCCAGAGGACGGGGAGAAGGGTGGCCGGAGGTCTGTGGTGTGCGAACTGCCAGGAGGGAAGGGGAAGGGTGAGGTTATTTAGTGGAGACATGAGAAGATGGCACCGGGCGCTTCGTGTGTAAAAGTCCACCAGTTGGGCAGCAGATACGGGCCAGGTCCTACAGCCATGCTTCAAGGGCAAGAGATGGGAAAGCGGGGAGTTGGGCTGTTGGGAACGGCGGGTTTCCTGCGTTCTGACGGCTTTGCAATGGTGTAACGCAAACCAAGAAGGGTAGACTTGGGCTCTTGAGGTCCTCCTCAACTCCGTCTCGTGGATCCTGTGGTCTCCTCACGGTTTTCTAAAGGAAACCAGTTAAGCCACCAGTGGGGCTGGAGCTGATCCTCGTCCGAAAGCCAGCGCCTTGGCTGACGCATGGGGTCCCGGCTGGTGGGGCTCAGCGGGAGCTGCAGCAACGCTCTGACGGGGGTGCGGGTGTTGGTGGCCAGTGCTTGAGCAGCGATAGCCCCTGGGTCTGCATAGGGGAAGCGCCTTGCTGCGAGGAGGTGGGAAGGAGGACCTGAGAACGTGGATTTTCCCCACTGACCCCTCCGTTGGAGGGGAGAGGGCCGTGGCTTTGATACATCCTGTGCCCGTTGGCTGCCTCTTCTTGGGAAAGCGTGGCTGCTCTTCCTAGAAAAGTACATAGGCCTGGCTCAAAGTCCAGCGCAGGCTGACGTGCGAGGGATCCACCGTGGGCCTTTCCTCAGGGCGCACTGGCTGTGCGCGTCCCCGATAGGGCCGGTCTCACCAAACAAAAACACCAGGTCACTTCCGGCATCGGTGATGCAAGGGGGGAGCCTGACATGTGGCCGTCCATCCCCCCGCCGTTTGCCTCTGGGAAGGGGGGGGGGG